GAAAACTGAAACCTTTCTTGGTGAAAATCCAACGGGAAAGCTGTTGACCGGTTTTGTCCCCTGCCTTGATCCTGGCAATCATGGTTTGACGTTCAAAATTCGAGAAGCTTATAGAAGCGCCCAAAAATTGCTGGCGTGCCACCAATCTGATCAGTGTATGTGTGCCATCTTGTCGTGGTACCAAAAGCCAGGCACCCCCATGTTTGCGTCTCTGGATGAAACGTCGTTGGAGTTTGGGAGCCTTCGTTCCCACCAGGCGCAACATCACAGTGGTTTTCTCAAAATTGATAGTAAAACCATGATTTTCCAGGATATCAAAAACCTTCCCCAGTGAACTCAGCAAGCTCAGAAAGTCTTGTTCAGAATGAATCACCTGATGGAAATTGCAATCGTCAGCAAAAGTGGTTGTATTGTCTAACATCCAATCTTGTGATGTGGCTGCAGCGATATCATGAAGCAAAAGTGCTGCCTGAGCCGTCCACAAAGCTGGAGCGGCTTTGCAGCCTTGTCTGATGCCACGTGTCGTCTGAAATTCCCGTTGGCAACCTTTGTGTTCAAAAGCAAAACTTGTGCTATTGTAGATGGATTGCAATAGACCCAACAGTGAATCATTGACCCCAAAACGCCGCAAACCTGCAAACAACCGTTTCCGACACACTGTGTCGAAAGCCTTTGAAAGATCAAGGCTAAGTAAGAGACCACCGCCCAGCTCACCAGGGTGAAGTCCATATGCCTGTTGATGCACTGGGTAATGATGCATTTCAATCTTGGCCCTGACCGCCCTACAAAAAGTGGCAATGCGAGAAAGAGCGTCGTCAGCACCACGCCCAGGCAAGTATGCAAATTGTGGAAGACCTTGCAGTGTCGGCCAGAGCTGCTCATGCAAATGTTTGGATGCCATACCCATGACCGTCTTTCCAGAAGGTTCCAACAATGCAATCGGCCTGAGGTCTCGAGGGTGGTGATTCTTCTTGGCCGCCTTTGGCAAGAAGCAGAGAAATCCCTGGCTCCACACGCCTGGCAGGTTGTTGTGCTGACTGCGCTGGTTACAAAATGGGTCCAATAGGTCAGCTGCCGACGTGGCCACGCACCTCCAAAATGGTGATGGCGCAAATCTAGGGTCCAGTGCCTTAGACAGTGGCAATTCAGCAAGGCCTTGGGCAAGCTCTGTGCATGTGAAAGGCCACTCAAAGGCACAGGCTGGATCAGGAGGATCGTCAGAATGATACAGCTGATGAAACCATGTTTGCAAGGTATCAGCCGCCTGTTCAGGGTGCATCAGGTCACCAGTCTCGGTTCTCAGATGGATTTTGCTGAAATTCTGCTTGGGTGCAATGTCACGTATTGCCTGCCACATACGAAATGGACCTCTGGCTTGTTCAGCAAGTAGCGCAGCATCATACACCTTTTGCAATCGTCGTTTGCGGGCTGTTTTGGAAGCTTGTTTCATGATCATTCTAGCCTTGCTACGTTGTTGTATGTGAAACCAAGCCTTGAAGAAGGTCTGCAGGCCAGGTGTCCGCAATGCACGCAAGCACATTGTATGAGCCTGAAAGTTTCTGAACGGCGTCACATCAAGTTGATCCAATAAGGAGTCTTTTGTTTTGTGGGCCGGAGGTCTGAATGAGTTCAAGGTCTCATGCAAGTGGTCAAGCGCATGTGCTGTTGCAGGAATGTTCTCAACTTTCTGTTGAATGTGATCTTGCAAAAGTCGGACATCTGCTGTTGGATGTTGCCATTGATGACAGAGATCAAGCCTTTGAGATCGTGTCCATCCCATCGGGCGGCTGGAGGTACTGTGATGCCAGACCTTCAAAATCGATGTCATTAAGGGCACATGAAATGAGCCTTCTGTGCAAAGAAGTGGAAAATCATGCAAATAAACAACTTGCTTCGATGTAGCGTCGGCCATATGTTGTCGACAACAGATATAGTCGATACGTGAATGTTGGGTCTGTGAGGGAAACTGATACGTGGGGCCAAGGTCCACTGTCCATGTGTTCAGAGCCGTCAATGAATATGTTGTCAAAACATTCATGAGGAGGTGAGCATCAGAATGTTGAGGCCCCCTACTTCGGCCCAAGTCCATGACGTAGTTGTCCAGGCCCACTGCGGCAGAGCGTCGAAGAAGGGAAGTATTCAGATCCCCCATCAACAGGACAGTGTTGCGCCGAGGCAGGTTATCCAGCACAGTAGAGATCTGTTGCCAGACTGCTGTGCGGTCATCCATACGATGAGGAGTATGAATGTGCTGATAGATGTTGAGAATATCCAAACTGCGATGTGTGCCATGAACTCGAACATGTAAAACTCTACCAGGGATGGGGTCATGCCATGACAAATCATCTGAAGAGCAAAGTTGTTTGGATATCATACACATCAAGCCTGCTGAAGGTCCGCCACTGCCACTGTGCACGATATGGTAGTGCTGTTGTGTCCATTCCGTCGTAAATGGCCACTTCGTCTCCTGGAGGCAGACCACGGCGATCTGTTGCTGTTGCAGCCATAGCTGAAACATGTCCCATTTGTCTGCACCAAGTCCCCCACTATTCCAACAAAAACAGGTAAGCCTGTGTCTAAGCTTCCTTCCTTTGGGGATTGCATTCGGTGGATGAGGATGAATATCTTCTATGCCAGTAGTCTGTGTGCCCAACTGTTTGGCTGAAAATAATTTGCCCCTCCACCATGTGTATCCATGTTGCGACGCCCTACGTTGAGCACGCTGAAAACTCCGTTTACCTGTTCCACTTGATCGTCTGGTAGCTTGATTCGGTGCGAACACCACATGGGGCTCCTCTGCATGAGCTTTCACGGAGTAAGACTCCGTTCCCTCGTTGCGCATGCCCACAACGAAACCCTCACCCCCAGCAGAAGCACTGCAATGAAGAGAAAACTGTCCAAGCGCCAGTGTCAAAGCAATGCAAGCGCTGAGACAATACTTCTGCCCTCGGAATTGGGACCGAGTGGTGGTCGATGTCAGGCGAGTCCGTGATGCTGAAATGGCAGGGTGTCGAATTGATGTGGTCAAAAATCCAAGGGGAAAAATTGTATCCCAAATCCAATCAAAACTTAAGGGAGCTTTGTCCAGCAGAAGTTGAAAGGAGAAACCAAAAAGGAAATGCCACGCCAAATTCAAGTGTCCACAAATAATGATCCACAGGCCAGTGAAAAATATCGTGGGAGCCCACCCCATGCACCAGAATAGGGAGCCACCCCTACAGATTAAGGCCAGTTCAAGAGAGCAGCGAAATGAAAAGAGGCACGATGTGGTAGAAATCGAAAAAGGTTCACGGGATCAGCAGCGATTCCACCACCAGCGCCGCACAGCAGCTCAGCGCACCGCAAGCGCAGCTGCAGGCCAACAGCGAAGCTCTCAAGGTATGCCAGCGAACAAGTAACCTTGAACGTCCAGGGGGCGCCCTCGTCGCTGGGACTCCTCGTCCCTCAAACCACTGGGGGCTTGTGTGTGTGTGTGAAACCCGTTATAACATACGTTTCGTACATCGAAGCAAGGAAGACAATATGTGGCGACAATAAGAACTGAATTTTCATTCAGACATGCAGGGGGCTGGAGTGTGAATCAGAAGTCTCCAGCCAACGAAGACGCTTCTGATGTCACAGTGATATCAACCTGGGACGCTGGGTTGACGTACCTGCAATGTTGGTTCGAACTTTTGCACAAGCTGTTCTATTACCTTGTTTTTGAGTCCTTTGGCAAGAATCGATTGCCCGAATTTCACCGTTTGCAACCGTGCCCCATCGAAGGTGACTTAGGAAATCAGGCGACGGCAAGTTCTACTCTCATCATCATCAAATCAACCTAAGCAGTGTGTTTGGGTGAACTCACTGACTTGTGAGCACCGTCGATCTGCTTCGTGCGGGGAGCTGGGTGCATTCAGGGTCGGCAACTGGTGTTAACCTTCATCAGAAGGGCTCAGAAGTCCGCCAAGGAATCTGTACAAAAGTTTTTTTTTTTCCGGGTTTCAGACTGCTCTGGCTTTCGGTTGGCTTTTGCTCTCCTCGATGACAAGCGGTTGATGCATCTATCGGATGGGGAAATCGCCGGCTAGGCTGGTCGGGTTGGCAAAATGCCTGTTCGGATGTTGCCAAAATGGCGCAAGGTCGGGAGCACCCGCTAGCTTCTCATTGGTCAGGACACCTCTGGGCACGACCCACGTAGGGAGTAGGCCGACTTTGGGTGTCAATGGTGAAACAGTGCTATGCCTCCAAATTTTTATTTTTTTTTTTGGACTTCTTTTGGTGGTCCTCTTCTTTTTTTTTTTGTTGGACTTCTTTTGGTGGTTCTTTTTTTTTTTGTGCTGGGGATACCTACGGTACACTCCAGGGCACTGGAGGGCTTATGGGCAGGTGAAGCATATGCCAATGTGGTCACGGCTGTTGCAGGAGCTTCAAGAGCTGGTCCTGGTTCTGAGCATGTCCGGGAGGAGTGGTAAGCAAATCCTCTTCCCATGCATGCAGGTCTATGATATCCTGGCGGCAAAGCCAGATGCATGTCACCCCCTCTTGGAATTGGTGAGGAAGCATTCGGCATGGCCGGGGCGGTCTGTCATCATCACAGTGCAGCCAGTAGGTATCGGCGTCGGGATGCCGGATGCTGGGCTGGGTGCGCAGCAGGGCCTGGTAATGTCCTGTGGCTGCATCTCCTTGGTGTGCAAACGCCGCAGTCATTTGATATCGTTCCCATGTGCAGTCCAGTCCATCATCTGTAAAAACTGGCACGTCAATGTGCCCTCCGAAAAACACCGGAGTATCTGTCTTGCGCACTCTGCCATGACCCTCATAGATGAATCGGTCCACGTGGACACACAGGACTTCTGGGGCTTGCAGCAGGCCAGCATACATGCCCAGGTCGTTGTGCCATCGCCTCAGCATGTCGGTCAGGCGTGCAATGCCATCTGTGCTGTGTGAAGGGTCAAGTTGCAACGTGAGTGGTTGATACCTGTCACCTTGGTCATGTACCCGCACGCATTCATTTTCCATCAGCCTGCGTTGCCAGTGGCAGCTAAGGAAGGATGGTGCAACCCATTGCAACAGCATGCTTGTGAACTCTGCTGAATCTGCTTGGCCTCGATTTTCATCCCAATTCTGGGTAATGCCCTGAAACCAGGTTGTGCATCCAAATTAAAAGGCTGAGGCCTGAGTTCCAGCAGGAGATCACGAAACAAGTCATGTTGGCGTCCCCAATCTGTCAGGGTGAATGTGTCTCTACTCAGTCCTGACCACAAAAAGCATGTGAAGGCACTGTTGGCGTAGCACATGTGGCCCGTGTTGCCAAGGGTCATTCTGGCTACTTCCCGTCGGAGTGAAGCACGAAGTTGCTGGACTATTTGGTCTTGGTCTTCGACTTCCCTTTGCCGCGTCCTTTGTTCGGTGTCCCCTGCATGTTGGTCAGCTGATCCAGTAACTGCGCTGGTTTGCTGACCCGTTGGTTGTGCTGCTTGAGACTCAGGCCCAGGAGTCCCCACAGGGTGGACTGACTCAGCTGGTGGAACAGTCGCCACAGGTCGTCCTCGCGCAGGTTGATCTGGAGCATCCAGGGAACCACATTGGCTTGAGGTCTCAGTGAATGGAAGCGCATCACATGATCGTTGTCGGTCAGGAGCTCCACCATGAACTGGAGGTCCTTCAGGATGCGGCTCATGGGCAGCGGTGCCCGATGAGACTTGGTGAGCTTCTTCTCTGTGTGGCACCACTGTTGGAACGGCCACGACCCGTCCTGGAGAATCACTCCTTTGGTGACTGCCACGTCCCACAGTTGGGTCCCCTGTGTGCTCTGAGACAACTTGATGGCCCTCTGTTGTAGCTCCAGGATCAGGTGCTTCAGCAGGAAGGTGCGGAGGGTGGTGGTCTTCTCCGTCATGTCCTTCCACTCTTTGGCCTTCGACGTCAGCAGTGGGAGGGCTCCTTCCGCACTGACTTGGGCAAAGATAACGAAGGAGTCCTGTCTGCGATCCATCTGGATGGCCCGATCGTGTTGCAGGACCACCTTGGCCAGGTGATGGATCAGTGTGAGCAGGGCCTTGTTCTGGGGGTTGTGTGGCTGAGCGGCCTTGTCTGCGCCGACGGGTTCCTGCTTGAGCTTCTTGTTCAGTGGCTCTTCGTCTTTTTCCCGCATGTACTGGCTCGCCTGCATCAGGAGGGGTCCCAGATGTTGGAAAGACTGCAGGAGCTCCGTGTCCGACTGGTCGAGCATCAGCTGATCGTCCATGGAGTGGCTGCAACACAAGGGCAATTTGCTGGAGGACGGGGCAGTTCGAGGCAAAATGGATCTGCAGTTGTTCAGCACGTTCAGTTGTTGCGTCTGGGTCAACCGTGCTGTCATTGAAAAACAATTTGCAGAATTTGCACTGATAGTCTTGTGGCTGTTCCGTCTGCATGCATTGTACCAGTTGAAACTTGAGCTGGGCCGCCCACACACAAGCATCATGATGATGGGTCAGTTGGTGAGTCATCAGAGCCGCTGTATGAAACCAGGCGCCACATAGCGTGCACCAATGCCTGAACATTTGCAAGAGTGCAGGGGCATGCCAAAGATGGCTGAAGTCTCGGTCCAGCACCACATTTAACAGCATTTGAAATCTTGCATGATTTTCCAGTGCACGGTGTGTGAGTCGCAATGTCTGCTCGTTATACTGCTGCGGTATGAACATCTCAGTTTCACTGGTGTAGAAAATCATGGCCATTTGTCGAACTCCTGGGCAGATGTGGGTTCGACTGTCATCATTGACCGTTGGATTGCACATGCATCCGCGGCTGCTGATCAATGTCTGAAGCAGGTACCTGACTAGGTCATTGGATCGTTGCCAAAGCTGTCCATGCGCCTGTTGGAGATGCGCGTTGAGATCATTGGAACGCACATAGATCTCGCCGCATAGCTGGCAATGCAGCGTCAACTGTAAGCGCTGGTGAGCTGAAAGATGTTGTTTGTCCAAAAACCCAAGTGTCAGCTGAGTGCGCCACTTCTCTGCCGCATTGAGTGGGTGGTTTGTCGCAGTCGGATCGAAAAACTCACATTTGCCAGTGATTATGTGAGTTCTCAAGCCATCACGTGAGGTGAATGGTTTGCCACAGTGAGAGCATGCTGTGGAGCCAGGTACTGAGTCCCTGGCAACATTCCAGTCGAAGACAGTCACCTCATGTTCCGCCTTCAAATGGCGGTGCAGGCTCTGAAGGTCATCGCATCTGGTTTGGCACAGCTCACACCTGAGAACCCGGTCAACATCCACATCTGAAGTCTGGCAGTGCAGTAGCAGCGCAGCTATCTGGGTGAACACTGTGCACGTGTGGCCGTGCATGAACTCCCTTTGGCAAAGCACACATGGGCTGGGGGACCTCAGTACCTTGGTCAGCTGGGCGCTTTTTGCAAAAATGCCTGTCACCACATCAGAGTGGTGGAGCCGATAATGGCCATGTAATTCCTGGCAGCGATTGTTCCATATGCCGCAGATCATACAGGTGTGAGTCAGGTATTGGCCAATGGCAGGATTTTCCTGTAGTTGATGCCATGTCTGATCTCGGATGATCTGCTTCAGTGTCGGCCAAAATGGCTGGGTGGTGATCAAAAAGCTATTCCGTTCTGCTCGGTTGCCACTGGTCACTGGGTCTGCAGGTGCAGCTTGGCTGGATGCTGCAGGGGCCTGGCAGCATGCTCTTTCCACATGGATGAGGAAACTGCGCCAAGTAGTGAACTGTTTATGACAGTGTTTGCATTGGGCTCTGCCATGAAGTGACATGTCAAGAATGGTGTTTGGGGTGGTACGGTGTTGTGGCAAGTTATGTGCAATGGTATGATGTCTTCTGAGATTAGGAATGGAGTTGGTAATGAAACTGCAGTGTGAGCAAGTATACTGCACCTGTGGTGTCGTCATCAATGCATCACCATCGATGGGGACGTCCGGCATGCTGTGGTGTACCTGGTCAATCAAATGCATTGTATCTTGATGATGTTGCCAGTCGACCTGCTGTAAGAAGTCTGTTGGGTCCAGTTGTAAAGCACGCCTCTGGAGTCTCAGCCATAGTTTCTCCGCGCCATGCCGCAAGAGCTGCAATGGGAGAGGAAGAGACTGGTTTTGTATTGCCCTCTGGTGAGTGTGCCCTGTCATGTAGGAGTGGTCACCGATCAAAATTCGAATCATTTGGAACACTGTAAGTTGGTAATCAGTTAGTGACTGCACCGTGACTCCTGTACCAAAAATTCCATACACAAGGATTGTATGTACGCAGGTGTGCCATAAATACATTCGATGAGATTGTCGAATTTGTCTGTGACGGAGCCAACGTTTGAGGCGAGCATATGCAATCCAGGCAGTCTTCTTGCGATGAAGCCACGTCTGCTGTTCAAATGCATGATAGGAAACAATCACTCCCAGGTAACGTCCCATGGTTTTCAACGGCAACGCCGTAGCCTCTCCAGTGCGACGGGGCAGCAACAGGTGTGCTTGATTCTGCAGGTAGCACATTCGGCCCTTGAGGGCATGCCGCACGTTGCTGCCAGTATGGGAAAAAATCAAATAAGACTTTTGCAAAGAGATCTGCAGTTTGAGGCGTTCTATGCAATCAAGCAAGTGGCCCATGCATTGCAAATGATGATCCAGCTCACCAACGGTCAGAAATTGGCAGCCTACATGCAGGTCGTCCGCATACAGTGTCAGGCAGTGACGGATCCAGGCTTCTCCAGTCAGTGGTGTGAGGAGCCATAACAGTTTGTTCATGTAAGCCAACCATAACAGCGGAGCAATTTTACATCCTTGTCGGAGGCCAACGCCTACTTGTACGGAGTCCGTGTTTTGTTGAAAAGGGTAAATTGTAATGTGTGTTTTCATGCCAACAAGTGATAAGGGTAAGTAAAGCATGGGGGGTGTTCAGTTCGTGGAGATGTTCAATGAGAATGGCTCTGTCAACACAGTCAAACGCACGGGTCAAGTCGAGCAATAACTGTACACCACCCAGTATGGTCGACCTGGGTGGGGATCGCATTTGCTGTTGGACCGACCGTCTGTGGTTGCCGACCAGCGTTCTGATCTGCCGGCAGTGGCTACTGACCCTGGCAATTGCATCTGCAGCTGATCTCATATGTAGGAATCCAAAATGGGGGGACTGACAAAGTCTGTGGGAAAGATAACTTTTCAATTGATAAGTCAGTAGTCCCATCACCAGTTTCCCCAAAGGTTCCATGAGGGATATTGGTCTGAGTTGGTCGGGACTCCCACATGATTTGCCTGGTTTTGGGATAAAATAAATCCAAGAGTCCTTCCAACTTCTGGGTATAAATGGGGGGTATTGACCCCACCAAATATTCAGGGTTCTGTGAATGAAATCAGCAACCTGCAAACTGGAGCCTTTCCAAACGGTGGCTGGCAAAAAAGGCATTGCCGCTGCTTTGTGCGGGTGCAGGTTGTGCAGTGCAACGCAGAGATCTGAAATGGAAAACGGCACTCCCGGGGCTTCATCACTGAAGTGTGGTAAGCTTGATGGTCCCTGCCATGTGGTGCGGACGTATGCAACTGTCAAGGAATGCGCTGTGTACTGATCTGCAATTTTGCCCTCAGGTGTACGCAGTCTGGGCTTGGCACATGATTTTTTGGGGGTGAATTTGTTCAGTATGGTGAACATGCCATGAGCATCATGTCTGTCTGCCGCTTGTTGGACCTGTTGACACAAATCATGAAAGCGTCTGGCCCTAGCCTGTCTGGCTTCTTTCTGGTGGGCTCGCTGTGCAGAGCAATATCTGCTCCAGTGATACCATGTCCGAAAAAGTGCCTGCAGGGTCGGTCGTGAGGTCATGATGACAATCTGTTGGATAGCCTTCTTATGATGCCATTTGTCTTGAATCATGCGGTGAAAATCATCATAATTAACTTGTGGGATTTGGGATTTGTTGCCTGGAAAAAGTTCCTGGAAAGTGGGAATCACGCGTTGATGGAGAGTCGTGATGATCTGTTCCGGATCTGTCGATGGGTCAACTGGTTCCTCAACGGCTTGATCAACAGCCGTGGTGAGCGCCTGCCAAGCAGTGGAATCCTGGAGTTGGGCCATCCTGCATTGGGCTCTTTGTGCATATGTACATGCCTTATTCATGCGGTGGACCTGGTATGCCATGTGAATGCGTTTCACCGAGCAAACTATAGGTACATGATGAGTAGTATTGACTGGCAAGAACTCAGCATGTTTAAGGTAAGCAGGGGTTTTGGCTTGTCCATCACATGCATGCAATCGCATTATCACAAAGTCGATTCTGGAAGCAACTGAGCCATGGTGGTATGTCGGTCCTGTGGATTCCGCCCAGGTGTTAACAGCTGTCAATGAGTGCATCCGCAGGAAATCCAAAAATTGGTGCATGTCCTCATGTTGAGATCCACAGGTCCGAGATCCTTGCCAGTGAAAATGTCCTGTGCCTGTCCATGGTGCCACACCTGGCAGGGCTGTATTGAAATCTCCACTGCATATGAATTGATTGCGCTGTGGAAGTTGTCCAACATAGTCACTGAGCTTGGCCCACAAGTGTGCTCTCAGTTTGCGGGACTGAGTGGTCTTGTAGTCCACGTGCTGGTAGACCGCCAGGATGTCAGTAGCCCGCTTTGCATGATGGATGCGGGCATGTAGAATTCTTCCGTCTTCCAAGGCCAGGAATCCTATTGAGTCTGGTGTTGCCAAGCGTCTGGCAATCATGATCAGCACCCCTCCAGAACGAGGATCGTTGGAAGCCGAGTGCACATATGACCATTTGTCGTCTGACCAGCAGGAATTAAAGCTCCACTTCGTCTCCGACAGCACAACAATGTCAATGGGTTGTTGTCGTAGCCAGTACTTCAGCTCCAGAAATGAACTCTGGGAGAGTCCACCAGGGTTCCATTGCATGACCCTGAGCCGATGTTTTTGATCCTTGTAGGAGCACCAGTTGTTTGTTTTCTGTGGTGCTGGTGGAGCTGCATCACATTTGTTGATCAATGTCTGGGGAAATTGGTCCACTGTGTATGCTTGTCCTCGAAACCATGCCATACCGTGCTGAAGTGCACGCTTGCATGCCCGTTGAAAACTTCGTTTCTGTATCTTGGTGCAGCGCTTGTTGGGGATCTGCATTGTTGAGCCGGAGCCCGTTGTCGGCGGTTGTCCACTGTTTGCGGTCTGTGTCAAAATTGGCAACCAATTGATTGCTTCACCTGCACCTGTGGTTGTGCAGGAACCCTCACCCTCATGGCTGCAAAAGAAATCTGTGATTCTGGTCTGATTGGCAGTCATGCCCGGATTTGGGACCGGGGTGCGGTCTCGAGTTATCCAAAATTGGATCAGCAACCCAATACAAAAGAAATTTTGCATGTTGTGTCCAGTTGTTGCAATATTGTAGAGCCAAGCCCGCAGGGGCAAAAACTTTGGCCAGCAAGCAGGTAAAGGCTGTCGACACAATGGATAAATAAAAAGTCACAACGGTTGAAATTGTCGGGCCAGTAAAATTGAAGCAGGAGCCCACCCTGAATAGATCACCGCGGGGACAGTCAGAAAGGTGGCGCCCCAAACCACTGAAAATACCAAAATTGTTGTTGGACCAGTGCACGGGCGCAGGGAGTCCACCCCTTGTTGTCCAATGGCCAGCGCGCGGGAAATCAACAAAAACGTGGGCTGAGCGATGCCGGTCCCCTAGCAACTCCTCGTTGCTTGCTCGCGGTGCTCGTGACCGCACAGGGCTTGTGTGTGTGTGTGTGTGTGTGTGTGTGTGTGTGTGTGTGTGTGTGTGTGGTGTGTGTGTGTGTGTGTGGGCCTTGTGGGTGTGTGGGGTGTGAGGTGGTGTGGGCTGGTGTGTGTGTGGGTGGTGTGTGTGGGTGTGTGTGTGTGTGTGTGTGTGTGGGTGTGTGTGTGGGTGTGTGTGTGTGTGTTGTGTGTGTGTGTGTGTGTGTGTGTGTGTGTGTTTTTTTCACGCTCCTTTTCTGATGACAGATCCGGCGCACGCCGTCAGCACTGGCATTGTGACCAGGCCGGTTCTCAGCTGTTGTGAGAAACGTGTTGGACCCCCTACGGCTGCTGCGTCATGGGCACAAGTGGGAAAAGTGCCATGACTCGTTGTTGGAGAGAAAAGTTGGCAGCCTACCATGTACGGACATGGGCATGTCTGAGCATCTGGCGATAAAAACGCGCCAGTGCATGGGCTATCGCCTCGTTGGGCAGAGTGAAACCTGGACTATGGTTTTTTTTTTTTGGACTTCTTTTGGTGGTCCCTTTTTTTTTTTTTTTTTTGGGCTTCTTTTCGTGGCCCTGGAGAACTGGGGGTACACACTGGGTTTCAGTGGGCATGTAAAAGGAAGGGGATCTACCAGCGGGGAGCTGGGTGCATTCAGGGTCGGCAACTGGTGTTAACCTTCATCAGAAGGGCTCAGAAGTCCGCCAAGGAATCTGTACAAAAGTTTTTTTTTTTCCAGGTTTCAGACTGCTCTGGCTTTCGGTTGGCTTTTGCTCTCCTCGATGACAAGCGGTTGATGCATCTATCGGATGGGGAAATCGCCGGCTAGGCTGGTCGGGTTGGCAAAATGCCTGTTCGGATGTTGTCAAAATGGCGCAAGGTCGGGAGCACCCGCTAGCTTCTCATTGGTCAGGACACCTCTGGGCACGACCCACGTAGGGAGTAGGCCGACTTTGGGTGTCAATGGTGAAACAGTGCTATGCCTCCAAATTTTTATTTTTTTTTTTGGACTTCTTTTGGTGGTCCTCTTCTTTTTTTTTTTGTTGGACTTCTTTTGGTGGTTCTTTTTTTTTTTGTGCTGGGGATACCTACGGTACACTCCAGGGCACTGGAGGGCTTATGGGCAGGTGAAGCATATGCCAATGTGGTCACGGCTGTTGCAGGAGCTTCAAGAGCTGGTCCTGGTTCTGAGCATGTCCGGGAGGAGTGGTAAGCAAATCCTCTTCCCATGCATGCAGGTCTATGATATCCTGGCGGCAAAGCCAGATGCATGTCACCCCCTCTTGGAATTGGTGAGGAAGCATTCGGCATGGCCGGGGCGGTCTGTCATCATCACAGTGCAGCCAGTAGGTATCGGCGTCGGGATGCCGGATGCTGGGCTGGGTGCGCAGCAGGGCCTGGTAATGTCCTGTGGCTGCATCTCCTTGGTGTGCAAACGCCGCAGTCATTTGATATCGTTCCCATGTGCAGTCCAGTCCATCATCTGTAAAAACGGGCACGTCAATGGGCCCTCCGAAAAACACCGGAGTATCTGTCTTGCGCACTCTGCCATGACCCTCATAGATGAATCGGTCCACGTGGACACACAGGACTTCTGGGGCTTGCAGCAGGCCAGCATACATGCCCAGGTCGTTGTGCCATCGCCTCAGCATGTCGGTCAGGCGTGCAATACCATCTGTGCTGTGTGAAGGGTCAAGTTGCAACGTGGGTGGTTGATACCTGTCACCTTGGTCATGTACCCGCACGCATTCATTTTCCATCAGCCTGCGTTGCCAGTGGCAGCTAAGGAAGGATGGTGCAACCCATTGCAACAGCATGCTTGTGAACTCTGCTGAATCTGCTTGGCCTCGATTTTCATCCCAGTTCTGGGTAATGCCCTGAAACCAGAGTTGCGCATCCAAATTAAAAGGCTGAGGCCTGAGTTCCAGCAGGAGATCACGAAACAAGTCATGTTGGCGTCCCCAATCTGTCAGGGTGAATGTGTCTCTACTCAGTCCTGACCACAAAAAGCATGTGAAGGCACTGTTGGCGTAGCACATGTGGCCCGTGTTGCCAAGGGTCATTCTGGCTACTTCCCGTCGGAGTGAAGCACGAAGTTGCTGGACTATTTGGTCTTGGTCTTCGACTTCCCTTTGCCGCGTCCTTTGTTCGGGGTCCCCTGCATGTTGGTCAGCTGATCCAGCAACTGCGCTGGTTTGCTGACCTGTTGGTTGTGCTGCTTGAGACTCAGGCCCAGGAGTCCCCACAGGGTGGACTGACTCAGCTGGTGGAACAGTCTCCACAGGTCGTCCTCGCGCAGGTTGATCTGGAGCATCCAGGGAACCACATTGGCTTGAGGTCTCAGTGAATGGAAGCGCATCACATGATCGTTGTCGGTCAGGAGCTCCACCATGAACTGGAGGTCCTTCAGGATGCGGCTCATGGGCAGCGGTGCCCGATGAGATTTGGTGAGCTTCTTCTCTGTGTGGCACCACTGTTGGAACGGCCACGACCCGTCCTGGAGAATCACTCCTTTGGTGACTGCCACGTCCCACAGTTGGGTCCCCTGTGTGCTCTGAGACAACTTGATGGCCCTCTGTTGTAGCTCCAGGATCAGGTGCTTCAGCAGGAAGGTGCGAAGGGTGGTGGTCTTCTCCGTCATGTCCTTCCACTCTTTGGCCTTCGACGTCAGCAGTGGGAGGGCTCCTTCCGCGCTGACTTGGGCAAAGATAACGAAGGAGTCCTGTCTGCGATCCATCTGGATGGCCCGATCGTGTTGCAGGACCACCTTGGCCAGGTGATGGATCAGTGTGAGCAGGGCCTTGTTCTGGGGGTTGTGTGGCTGAGCGGCCTTGTCTGCGCCGACGGGTTCCTGCTTGAGCTTCTTGTTCAGTGGCTCTTCGTCTTTTTCCCGCATGTACTGGCTCGCCTGCATCAGGAGGGGTCCCAGATGTTGGAAAGACTGCAGGAGCTCCGTGTCCGACTGGTCGAGCATCAGCTGATCGTCCATGGAGTAGCTGCAACACAAGGGCAATTTGCTGGAGGACGGGGCAGTTCGAGGCAAAATGGATCTGCAGTTGTTCAGCACGTTCAGTTGTTGCGTCTGGGTCAACCGTGCTGTCATTGAAAAACAATTTGCAGAATTTGCACTGATAGTCTTGTGGCTGTTCCGTCTGCATGCATTGTACCAGTTGAAACTTGAGCTGGGCCGCCCACACACAAGCATCATGATGATGGGTCAGTTGGTGAGTCATCAGAGCCGCTGTATGAAACCAGGCGCCACATAGCGTGCACCAATGCCTGTACATTTGCAAGAGTGCAGGGGCATGCCAAAGATGGCTGAAGTCTCGGTCCAGCACCACATTTAACAGCATTTGAAATCTTGCATGATTTTCCAGTGCACGGTGTGTGAGTCGCAATGTCTGCTCGTTATACTGCTGCGGTATGAACATCTCAGTTTCACTGGTGTAGAAAATCATGGCCATTTGTCGAACTCCTGGGCAGATGTGGGTTCGACTGTCATCATTGACCGTTGGATTGCACATGCATCCGTGGCTGCTGATCAATGTCTGAAGCAGGTACCTGACTAGGTCATTGGATCGTTGCCAAAGCTGTCCATGCGCCTGTTGGAGATGCGCGTTGAGATCATTGGAACGCACATAGATCTCGCCGCATAGCTGGCAATGCAGCGTCAACTGTAAGCGCTGGTGAGCTGAAAGATGTTGTTTGTCCAAAAACCCAAGTGTCAGCTGAGTGCGCCACTTCTCTGCCGCATTGAGTGGGTGGTTTGTCGCAGTCGGATCGAAAAACTCACATTTGCCAGTGATTATGTGAGTTCTCAAGCCATCACGTGAGGTGAATGGTTGGCCACAGTGAGAGCATGCTGTGGAGCCAGGTACTGAGTCCCTGGCAACATTCCAGTCGAAGACAGTCACCTCATGTTCCGCCTTCAAATGGCGGTGCAGGCTCTGAAGGTCATCGCATCTGGTTTGGCACAGCTCACACCTGAGAACCCGGTCAACATCCACATCTGAAGTCTGGCAGTGCAGTAGCAGCGCAGCTATCTGGGTGAACACTATGCACGTGTGGCCGTGCATGAACTCCCTTTGGCAAAGCACACAGGGGCTGGGGGACCGCAGTACCTTGGTCAGCTGGGCGCTTTTTGCAAAAATGCCTGTCACCACATCAGAGTGGTGGAGCCGATAATGGCCATGTAATTCCTGGCAGCGATTGTTCCATATGCCGCAGATCATACAGGTGTGAGTCAGGTATTGGCCAATGGCAGGATTTTCCTGTAGTTGATGCCATGTCTGATCTCGGATGATCTGCTTCAGTGTCGGCCAAAATGGCTGGGTGGTGATCAAAAAGCTATTCCGTTCTGCTCGGTTGCCACTGATCACTGGGTCTGCAGGTGCAGCTTGGCTGGATGCTGCAGGGGCCTGGCAGCATGCTCTTTCCACATGGATGAGGAAACTGCGCCAAGTAGTGAACTGTTTATGACAGTGTTTGCATTGGGCTCTGCCATGAAGTGACATGTCAAGAATGGTGTTTGGGGTGGTACGGTGTTGTGGCAAGTTATGTGCAATGGTATGATGTCTTCTGAGATTAGGAATGGAGTTGGTAATGAAACTGCAGTGTGAGCAAGTATACTGCACCTGTGGTGTCGTCATCAATGCATCACCATCGAGGGGGACGTCCGGCATGCTGTGGTGTACCTGGTCAATCAAATGCATTGTATCTTGATGATGTTGCCAGTCGACCTGCTGTAAGAAGTCTGTTGGGTCCAGTTGTAAAGCACGCCTCTGGAGTCTCAGCCATAGTTTCTCCGCGCCATGCCGCAAGAGCTGCAATGGGAGAGGAAGAGACTGGTTTTGTATTGCCCTCTGGTGAGTGTGCCCTGTCATGTAGGAGTGGTCACCGATCAAAATTCGAATCATTTGGAACACTGTAAGTTGGTAATCAGTTAGTGACTGCACCGTGACTCCTGTACCAAAAATTCCATACACAAGGATTGTATGTACGCAGGTGTGCCATAAATACATTCGATGAGATTGTCGAATTTGTCTGTGACGGAGCCAACGTTTGAGGCGAGCATATGCAATCCAGGCAGTCTTCTTGCGATGAAGCCACGTCTGCTGTTCAAATGCATGATAGGAAACAATCACTCCCAGGTAACGTCCCATGGTTTTCAACGGCAACGCCGTAGCCTCTCCAGTGCGACGGGGCAGCAACAGGTGTGCTTGATTCTGCAGGTAGCACATTCGGCCCTTGAGGGCATGCCGCACGTTGCTGCCAGTGTGGGAAAAAATCAAATAAGACTTTTGCAAAGAGATCTGCAGTTTGAGGCGTTCTATGCAATCAAGCAAGTGGCCCATGCATTGCAAATGATGATCCAGCTCACCAACGGTCAGAAATTGGCAGCCTACATGCAGGTCGTCCGCATACAGTGTCAGGCAGTGACGGATCCAGGCTTCTCCAGTCAGTGGTGTGAGGAGCCATAACAGTTTGTTCATGTAAGCCAACCATAACAGCGGAGCAATTTTACATCCTTGTCGGAGGCCAACGCCTACTTGTACGGAGTCCGTGTTTTGTTGAAAAGGGTAAATTGTAATGTGTGTTTTCATGCCAACAAGTGATAAGGGTAAGTAAAGCATGGGGGGTGTTCAGTTCGTGGAGATGTTCAATGAGAATGGCTCTGTCAACACAGTCAAACGCACGGGTCAAGTCGAGCAATAACTGTACACCACCCAGTATGGTCGACCTGGGTGGGGATCGCATTTGCTGTTGGACCGACCGTCTGTGGTTGCCGACCAGCGTTCTGATCTGCCGGCAGTGGCTACTGACCCTGGCAATTGCATCTGCAGCTGATCTCATATGTAGGAATCCAAAATGGGGGGACTGACAAAGTCTGTGGGAAAGATGACTTTTCAATTGATAAGTCAGTAGTCCCATCACCAGTTTCCCCAAAGGTTCCATGAGGGATATTGGTCTGAGTTGGTCGGGACTCCCACATGATTTGCCTGG